AGTGACGACCACGTACGAGCAAATGCAGTGTAGGACGATCTCCCACTAGATGGAGTGACGACCTCAAATGCATTGCAGGGAGTCAGTGGATGCAGGTGGCTCAGGACTGTTCCTTATGGTAATCTATAGAGGAGGCCTATGCCCAACAGTGGATAGATAATGGCTGAAACGATAATGACAAGCACAGCTGCTTCACGACAGCAACACGGATATAACAGATAGGTACTCAAAATGTTCTCATATGCATATTTAAACTTCTCCATACAATTCAGTATTTATAACTCAATATTTTTAGAGATGAAAAATACATTTTATTATTTGCAAATACCTAAATATATTTACGCTAATCAGGTATAAGTAATCATTACAGTAACTCTTGTTTTTTTTTTTTTTTTAAATTCGTCCAAAACAAAAAAAAAAGAACAGACAAAGAGCATAGCCCATACAGCCTAGTCATAAGTTATTATCAGTTCTTCGTAAATGGGGAGAAAATAACTTCATACGTATTTTATATTAATTTCCATAGGAGCTGTAATTACCAAGCGTAAGAATTCTTCATGAATATTATTCTTCTTATATGAAGTAATCGCTATTTTAACTTATTCTTCATGTATAGGTTAACAATATATTTCTTTCATAAAATTATATACGCAATATACATAAGTCTTCTTGTAAATAAATTATAAATTCTTAATGACATTTCTAATGTTATTCATAGCAAAGATTTAATTCTTTGTTCAACAAAGAAAAAAGAAAATCTACTAATTAAATGTCATTCGAGTTTTTTGTTCAGATACTTATATAGAAACTTCTTTGTAACATAAAAAAAAAACTAGCTATTTTATTACTTTCAACTTTACAAGACACAGTGCCTACTATAAAAATGCCATGTTATAAATTCGACGAAAGGTGTTTTATTGCAGGTAATAAACATCTAAATATTTTACCTCCCAACATCTCAATTTAATGTCAATTTGAAACACGAAACATCTCTTCAACTGTCACCTCGCGAAATCTATTGAACCAACCTGGCCTTTGCCCCTATTCTCTTTGGGGACAGGTGATATAACACTTTGGGTCGTATTTGTTTTCAACATAAACTTAATATAATAATCATATGTAACACACAAATTATGCAACGTCCAATTTATAATAAAAAAAAATTGAAAAAAAAAAACTTCTATAAGTCTGTCGTGTACAAAAAAAAAACATTAAGTAATTATATTTAAGAGTCGGCACTTCTCTTATATTGACTAATTTGGAAAATTAATCTATGCAATCACCTCTAGAAATATTAGCAATAATCCATTGACCTGTCAATGTAGTCCGCCAACGACCAATATAATCTAAGTGGACTAGTACACGTTGTCCGAAAGTATATTGGGGCCTTAAAGCGGTCGTTCAATAAGCCAAAGAAAGTTCAAATGTCCAAGAAATTTATAACGTGCTTGTTTATGCTTTTCAGACTAGTGTACTATGACAGCAGCTCCCGAAAATCTTGATACGAGGAAATTAACTTCAAATTTTTCAACTTGATCTTATACGCTAATCTTCTTTATTAGCTACTATTTTTTACTCATGTCTTCATTCTTTCTCCCGGTCAATAAATACGTTGTCGGTCACTTCAAAATACTGAATGACCAGGATAAAGTATAAGTCGCTCATGTCCTTCTCTATCCCAAATACTAAGTGTACACCAAATTGCTTACCTTCTTACCTTTTATGAGTAATATAAAAACTAAAATCTTCTTCAAACTTATTTTTAACTATTACATTGTTTTGTCACTTTCTATCAAATTGGGAATTTAATGTTAAAGAAAAAGACAAAATAGTTCAATAACTAAAATAGATTTATGAAAAGTTAGACGTTTTCATGAATAAAGGAGTAAATGTATAGTTAAGCCGTTAAAAAGCTAAGAGATACCAAACATAATTCTATATTTATAATATCAACAAATATTGACTATAAAACAAAAAAATTACCTTAATCAACCGTAGATTCCATAGCACGTCCATATAATTGAAGGTTACACTAAATTATTGCAAACAAATTAACACGTTTTTTAATTTGTTTCTAATCGCATATAATAATTAAATAGGCGCTAAGTAATTAAAAAAATAACCTTTCAGTAACATCAATTTCGTAATATTCGATAATTCCGTGATTCTAATAATGAGTCATTACGTAAATGTAATTAGGGTTATGTTATTTTTAATTCTATGATAATATGATCTATAGTTACCTAATTGATGGTTAACGCATTAGCAATCTATGAAAACCCATTAACGTCCCACTACTGGGCACAGTTCTCCTCCCATAAAAGACTGCCAATAAAGCCTACAATTACAACATTAATTACAGCTTTCAAATATTTTCATAAGAGTGTTTCTTCTCTTTTACTGGACTCGTAAAGGCGTCGCGACGTCCTTCGATAAGGCAGATCAGAGTCCTATGTTTACAATTAAAATGGCCTAATAAGAGAGAGACTTTGTACAAGAGTCATATGCTTGGATACCTCTGACCCATTCGTGTTTCTACCGTGAAGCAGTTGTGCTTGTATGTGTTTCGGTTTGAAAAGTGGGATATGGCGTGAATTTACAGGATACAGAGGAATAATATCTGAGTCCTCAGGAATGGCAACGTATGGGAAGTATCATGGGTGAAACAGTATAGGTACTCTGTTATGTCTATGATACTGCTCATGTCTATAGCCGACAGTTATCACTTTTCGTCACATAAACCGTCAGCTTGTTTGCATTTTATCACGATATGCCAACTGACCTGTGTTCATCCTCACTTGTCGTCCTTCACTTGAGCCCCATTCATCATCATCTCAGCCTTTAACTGTCCACTGCTGAACATAATCCTCCCCCTTGATAGGTTTTGCCAGTAGCTGCCACGTTTGGCAGGCGTATTGACAACCGCAGTTAAATTGGATATGTTTTAAATAGGATGCTGCTGCGTATCCCTCGCCCTCCCTTAATCGCCTGTTACGACACCCACGGGAAAGGAAGAGATAGTCTATTCTATGCCGGAACCACATGACCGGCTCTTTTAAATTGTTAATAATGCAGGTGGGGGTTAACATTTCATTATTATTATTTTTTTGTTATTATTTAGTTAATATTAGTATGAATTAATATAAATGTATTTCTATCTACAATGGAGCATCTGTTTCTAACGCTCCAACTATCACAACCGCTTGATATCAATTGCGGTGATATAAGTCGGTCTGCGGTCGGGAAAGTCATAATTACCGCAATGACTTGGCAGGAAGAAAAATAAATACAATATACACTTTTGTTTTATAGTGAAAATGAATTGGTAACCACGCCTGCACTGACGGTATACACTGGCAGGGCACCAGTAAGAGATGATAGGTGATGATGAAAACAGACCAATTAGCCCATCATGATGAATTCATCAGTAATTACCCATGATAGTTTTCTGGGAAGAACCGCGTGGAGATCGACCTGGTTGGGTGTATTGCTAGCAATGGAATTCCTAGTCTATATAACTAACAATCCTTTCTCTCCCCCCCCCCCCTCACAATACACACTAGGTATTAAAAAATTATGCCCACAATATAAAACTTTTTGTTTTTTTTTCTCAAATATTTAAACCGCTTTGTTTTAATTCCCCTCCTACAGTACATACTAGGTATTAAAAAAGTATGCATACGTATAAAACTTTTTATTGTTTTTTTTTTTTTAATTTAAAACTTGTCTTAATTTTTCTGTTACTTGTCTTAAATCTCTTGTTTTAATTTTTTGACAGAAACATTAAAAAAATAATTTGTTTTAGGTACTCGTATAAAAGCTTATTATAATAGTGTACGGAACTTTAATTGTATATTATTTCTGCCTACTCTAAACAATTATATTGTAAACTTCCTTGAAAAATATATAAAATGTTTAAGTGAAAAATATTAAAATATCACCAAAAATATTATTGGTTATATTATATTGGCAACGCATGAATGATATCATGAGCGACACAGTATACTCTGTAAAGTCTATACTACTGTTCATGTCTATAGGCACTTTCCATCAGATTGGCCATCAGAACATTCTAAGTTATATAAAAAAAATTATCATTAAATGCATTACGTACTTGGAATCTGTTAACTCTTGTACCTGTGGCATTTTTCAAAATCCTTTCCAAATATATACTTAGGCTAAGTCTTAACAAATTTTAAATAGTTATGCTTTATGGTTATAGATATTTTATAATTAGTAAGTAAGTCCTTTCCACTTTGGGTTTGCTGGAAGAAAACTCTATCAGAGTTAAGCTCGCCTTTGTACTTTTGTTTACCTCTGTCATATTTTTATAACTAATGTGTACAATAAAGTATTAAATAAATAAATAAATAAGTAGTAGTAATTCACTTTATGATAGTATAAATAATTCTTCTCTTCTCTTGCCCGTTCTTCTCAGCTGAAATTGCATTCCGAACTGGACGGTAGGTAAAAAATTGACTATTCAAAAATGCTTATTATTAAGTTTACTTGAATGAAAATAATTTTTATTTATTTATTTGTTTATTTTATTGAATCCAACAATTTAGCTGAGTACTTTAAAAAAGTTTTCAATAATTTCCTGGAATTAATTAAATTACGAAGAAATGCGGGTATTTTTAAAATCTTCCAATAGGAAATAAAAAAGAGAGACAACAACCTATAAACTTACGACAATAATCTCTAAGTTAAAATTTCTATGCATTAAATATGTTTTTAACTATAAGTGTTAACTCTTAATAAAATTGTAATAAAATTCTTACATAATATATTAACATAGGTTTATAGCGTAGCTGCACTAACCATAGATTATACTACAACTAAGATAAAACAAACGTTAATTTGGATCATTAACACACATGTGCTAGCGCCTTTTATGGCTCTTTTTCCTCTAAAGCATTTATTGACCGAGTTAAAACAATCTTGCACCGGCCATCTTCATGCGGGTTAGCCTAATCTCATTGTTAGTAACTCAACAGTTCTCAGACACCATTACATTCATAATGCACTTGCGCTATCTTTTTTGCTTAAGTTTACATAATCCACGAATGTGAAGGTTGGTGACTTTCTTTAGCGGGGAGGCTGTATGAGCCGTCACCTTTGCCTCAGTTGTGAGAGAAGCGCGCGCGATCGCGCCTGTGCTGTGCTTTGGTTTTTTTTTTAATTTATTTTTTTGAAGTGTTGTGCCGCTCGGATATCATGAGGTTGGCTTTTTGGGTAAGTTTATTTTTTTTTTAACAAAAAATATATTTGTGTTTATGGAAGTTTGAATAGCGGTTCGGATTTTAGTACGCCGCTGGCGAGTCCACTTTCTTTAGTGAAAGTCGAATAATCATCGATTCATCATCAGAAGAGGGCTCATTTTTATCGATTCGCATTCGATAGTAAAGTAATTGTCACCAGCAATCAATCAATTTGATAATTTCAAATGTAGATTCAGATATAAAGGTATGCATTTAAACTATTTAAAATACCCGTAATAAAATATTTAAATTTATAGAATTTAGAATAATTTAACGTGGGGAATAATTAAGTGTATTTATTTTTTTATTGTATTAGATACATGCCTAATAAAAAAGAAATCATGAATTACTCGTTTCCGAAATGTCTAGATGCATAAAACAGGTTTTAAACTTTCACGGCTAACGATGAAAGCATCGGATGAATATTTTTATATTATTATCGAGTAATAAATTTGAATTAATAATATGTAATTAAAAACTTGTAGAATTAAAAATATTAAAACAAAAAATGCACCTAATATAATGATATCAGTACTTTTCTGTATATTTTAAATACCATTTGTTAAATGATCTAAATCGATACTTAATCGATTATAAATGTTTATCGATTAAATCGATTATCAATTTGTCATCATTATCCAATACATCCTACCTATGATATTACATAAATGGACGAAAAGCTCAAGTGGGTCACACCGAGTGGCGACAGCGCGAGAGCGCACTCGCAGTTTCTCTTGTTTACTGACTATTTATATACTTTATATAAGTATTGATGTCTAAGCACATAAATGATGGACATTATAGATATCTATACTTGGAGATCTTAATGACTTTTTAAAAAAAAAATACTTACATAGGCATTTGTTATAAAACAATAGCAGTTTTATTCAGGAAGTAAATTGAGGTTGATAAATAAAATCATATAAACTATAATGTAAACATCGTTTCTTCCTTCTTTTTCTAATTATATGTCTTAATACTTGTATGATCAAACATAACTTCTATATGAAAAATTGTTTTAGTCTATCCAATATTTTTTTTTTATCTATAAAGTGCCTAATTGAAAAAACAGTATATATATTTTATATTAGAGTTTTAAAAATAAAATATGTGTAACATAAATAAATATGGTACGTAATGATAAAAGTTAAATAATAATTAAGTACATCGTTAACTTTCTAAGTAAACTATGAACTTTTAATTGTTATTAAAAAAATGTTACAAAATCATCAATTAAAATATAAAAAAAAAATAGACAAATTTACATAATATAGAAGGCGTCATTTATAATTTCACAGCTTATGCAACGCTGTGCAACTTCTAATCAGAATATAGAAAGAAATATGTGCAAATTAAAACTATGCACGAGAAACGGATCTAACTGTTATTTTTATCACAATAAATATATGCAGTTACTATATTAATTAGCTAAAATAATAGACTGTTTATTAATTTATCTATATTTAAAAAAAAATAAGAATTCAGTTTCTGTTCTCAATTTGTTTAAAAAAAATCGTACACGTGTCAACGGCAAATTTAACTAAACTATGCAATAATTTAATGATCCAGAGATAGTCAGCGGCGTTTGTTTTAAAACCAAAACCTAACTGCAGTTGTCAAATCGCCTATCAAGCGTGGCGACTATTAGCAACACCCTCCTTATAGGACAGACCTATGTCCAATAGTGGACAGTTCACAGCTGATATAATATAATAATGTAATAACTTTAAAGTGTTTAAATATAAACCGTACTTATCTTGTAATAAATTTTTAATTCAATTACTACTCAATATATATATTTTCTAATTTGTATAAAAATACTACAAATCTGTGATATTTATCTGTCACTAGAATTTCTCTGTGCAATAATTACTAACAGTCGCTAGTCGTATTCTTAATCTATGGCACCAACACTTGATTAAAAAAAAAATTAAAACGGACCTAAAATATATAATTATTATTTTACTGTAGCTAAAATATCTTCATTTGATTAGAAATTCTAGGGAAATTCGTTCATTCAAGTAAAAAAAAAAACTGAATTTTTTATACACTTCATAAAATATATAAGTATATAATATAGCTAACCTACATATATAAGAATAGATTAACTATACATCTCTCATGCGAATGTTTTTACATCTGCGCTATAGCTATACCATTATATATTATGTCATAATTATGCACTACTGGACATAAGTCGATTTACAGAGATGTCATAACTTAGCCAGTGCAATAATATTAGAATCGTTGCAACATTAACGAATTACAATATTGCATAGCTATTTTTATGTCCATTCTATTTTTAACTATGTTAATTTATGCACACGTAAGATGACATAAAAAAAATAGTAAAAATGACACAAATAAATAGTCGAATATGATAATGAAACTGATTCCGAAATGTTGTTCTACAAACACATAATTATATTTCTAAAATTCGTAATTTTCGATTCGTGTATTTAGAGTCGAATTGTATAATCGATTCTAACATTTCTAAATAAAAATAAATAAATAAATTTATAATAATTTGGTACTTCTATCTCTACATATATTTATAAAAAAAAAACTATTTCAATTTTGATAAAATCTGTTCAATTAAATATTTATGTAATAATTAATTATTTCATTGCAACTTAATATTAATAATTAATTAGATATAGTTACTCAATAATTAGATATAATTTCTCGTCTATTATGACTAAGGAATTTATATGAAATTTCCTTGTTTATGATAAAGAATATGTGCCTAGAGCCTATTTAAATAAGAATACTGTTTTATAAGTATATTATTTTTTACCTCCTCTTTGTCGAAGTCGTATAAAAACCCTTCCAAAACCTTATTCAACGCGACTTAATTCAATAGAAACTAATTAATAAAAAAAAGTTACCGGCCAGGTATTTACAGCCTATAAACGATTACCTGCATGTCTGTCTACACTGCTCTATGCAATAAACAAATGGTCGTTATTAATTAATTATTAATTTTTTTTATACAACTTAGAATATCAAACAAGCTGACGGCCCACCTGATGGAAAGTGGTAACCGTCGTCTATAGACATGAGCAGTACCATGGACATAACAGAGTATACTGTTTCGCCCATGATACCCCCCATGCGTTGCCATTCCTGAGGACTCAGATGTTATTCCTCTGTACCCAGTAAATTCACGCCATATCTCACCCTTCAAACTGAAACACAGCCATGCAAACACAACTGCTTCACGGTTGAAAAGCGAATTGGACAGAGGTACCCGAGCAATCGACTTTTGTATAAAGTCTCCTTTGAAAATTGGTTCTAAATCTATTCATTATGGCAAAAGAATTTGGAAATAGAGCTTCCGCACCTTCCAAATCTTTACTTACGCGACCTAATTTAATAGGACCGTATTAACAAAAAACAAAGTCATGCGGTCAGGTAATAGTAACCCACAAACGATTAACCTCGTGTCTGTCTACCTGCGCCACGCCATGCCCTAAACAAACGGTAACACGTGTGTGACATGTATGAGAATGACAACCATGAGGATTACTTTAACCCACACACCTACATTTGAAAGCGATGTTAGATTTTAATTTAGGATACTTACCTATTTTTTTTTTTAATTATTGATCTTCACTTTCTAATGCTACCATAGACATAGGTGTCAATTTTATTTTAATGCAAGCACTACTTTTTTATGGAATGGTATCCCCGTCCGCGCTATCAGTATATGCTGGCAGGATATACATGAAGATTAACACGGGAAAGGAAAGGGTGGCCTATTCTACGCCGGGACCACACGGTCTTAACTATAAAACAATCACATAATAATCAAATTACCATTACTACAATCCCTTAAATAACGTAAAGCAGGACCTATTATACCATAACTCTTATTATAATATCTTGGAAATAAAAAGAAATCAAACGGTAACAAATTGTATTCGTAATTAATCACCTACACACATAAATACTTCATTCCCTAAATACAAAACCAAAATTAGATAACTCGTGAAATGCTGTAATCGAAAACGTTCATTGAACTTGACAGAACCAAATAGTCCGTGTAATAAAGACTATAATTAGACTAAGGGCTATGTTGTAACTATGTTACGGTTGAGACAACCTTGACTTTGAACGCAAACTGGAGCGCCGAACGTTTCCGATACGTTACTTATCTGTGCTACAACCGAGTAATTGTAGCTATTGTAGCGGTTATGACACATAGGTGCGCGCCTATTTCAAATTTCGAATATTGAACTTTTACTTTTTTTATTTTGGTAGCACAGTGTCGATTTCATTTTGGCCGAATTATTTCCCGTGCCTTATTCTTTATTTAAAAAAATATAATTTACAAAAACAAAAGACGATATAGAGTAAATTAAGAATCGTGGAAAGAGTATCTTTAATCTATGATAAGAATAGTAGTTGTCTAGTTATTCACAGTGGGAGACGACTGTTTATAATTAAATTACTTAGATTAAAGAAAGACTGTACTTTTTCTATGGTAATTGGACCCAGCTTAAAGCAGAGATTTAATTATTTTTTTTAAAGATGAAAGCTTAGCAAAAGTAAACGAATTTACATATGTAGTCACACGTCTTTAGTCCAGTGTTACGTAATTCTAAACTGTATAATTCGCTACATTCAGGATATCCACTGAAAATTAACATAATCACGTATTTATGTAAATTTTCGAAAAAAAAAGAGAATTCTTTTGACTGCAAACTGTTCGCGATTATATGGTCATTGAAAATTGTTTGTATATTATAATCTTTTGTTGTCAAACTTACTTTCTTTGCATTTAAAAAAAAAATTGGTATATTTTGTATATTGCATAAGCAGTTTACTCGTACAATAAGTTTTAAAGCTTCATTGAATGAGTCTAGTTATGAAAGTGGATGAGGCAAGAGATGAAAAGATAGTAGAGGCCTTTGATCGCGTTTATGGTTTAACATAGCACGGCAAGATAATATCGTACGATTTTACAGTAAA